AATATTTTTATTGATTTAATTTAGTCAAAAAGATGGAGGTTTTCTTTTCTTTTCCAAAAGAGCTCCTTAAATGTCAGAAACTGGATTCAGCCTCAGTAACTGGAAAGGGTTGGAAAAATGCCCGTTTCTTCTTATCTCTGGCACCAATGGGTAAAAACAAAACTGTCCAACACACTATCAGTGCCCAGCAGCATTTGACAGGAGAAACAGGTCAACACAAAGGTGACACTGTCAGACCAGCCCTCAATCAGCTCCTTCCCTTTCTCTCCTGCTGTGACCAGCATCAACTTCACCTTCGAGTTGGGAGGTGATGTCTAGAGGCAAGTACTCCTGCGTAGTTATAGCCCATCAGGAGGCAGTGCCCGGAATCTTCTGATTTATAGAAATCTCCATATGTGGTAGATGAGTGCATGTATACATCACATACAAATCTCAACATTTGTCTTCTCTTCAGAAGTCTGAGTGGTTTTAAAAAAATTAGATCAGTTTGGGCTTTGTGGCACAAGCTATTAATCCCAGCACTTGGGAAGCAGAGGCAGGTGGATATCTGTGAGTTCAGAACAAGCCTGGTCTACAAAGCGAGTTTCAGGCCAGCCAGGGCTATATAGAGAGAGTCTTGCCTTTAAAAATAAATAAATAAAATCAGAATCCATAATTCTCATGCTTAATTCCAGGGAGGCCTGAAGAAAATCCAGACTCTCTGTGACCTCCTGGGACTGTGTGGTGCATTTTCCCTCCAGCTCCATATTGGACTCAAATCATGCTGACCTATTTTCATTCCTCAGACTATCCACTAGCCTGCTGTTCTACTGAAACTCATTCCCCAGGGAACTCATTCCTCAATCAACACAAGGCTAACACCTTTTCAGCTTTCAGCATCGCAGCCTCCTCGATAGCCTGCTTTGAATGCTGTTTAAATTGGTCCCTCCCACTTGTCCTACCCTTATCAAAGCAGTTGTCACAATGTTACTAGACTGTCATCTCTAGGAAGGCAAAGTGCTGTTGGGTATCTTGCTCTGAGATGAGTCATCAAAGCCAGCACAGTGATTTATGCCATAGGACATGGTACATGCTGAATGAATGAACCCATGACTTGGTCATGGTGAAAACCCAGAGAATAGGGCATTATGAATGAAAATCTGCATAGGTCTTTGTTGTTTGTTATTATGGATGAACTAGAAGAAAAAGACAGCACTGCTTTCTCTTCTCATTGAAGGAAAGAGAGCTTTTGATGGACTCCTCTCTGCCTTCCTTCCTAATGTGTCACCCGTCAACTCATCAAAGCTGCTGCCTTCATTCCTATATTCCCCAAATTCCCCTGTCCTCGAGGTAGACACAATCATTTTAGCTGTTTGCCTTTTAGGACTACTGGGGGAGGCTTAAAGATTATGAGTCTTCCTGGTATGGGGAGTTTGAGGTGAAGTGGATATATATAGCATATATATATATATATATATATATGTTCACTTGGAGGGTGACAACTTGTCTGCACAGGACTGAGATGCAGTTCTGAAGGCTATATAAAAGACACAGGCATGCCTTGAGTGGACCTCTGACAGAATGGCATGGGGGCCGGGAAGAGGGGGTTAGGCAGAGCCTGAACATGAAGAGTAGAGGTTCTGCGGAGATGGTGCACTCAGATTCTAAGGATCTGAGTGACCACAGCTGGCTGGAGTTGAACACTATGTCCTAGTTTCAAAGTCCATATGATAACTCTGGGTTCTTGTAGAATTCTAGAAAACAGCACACTGGCTTACTTCTAGCTTTGGCTAGGAGCTTAAAATTAATTTGACTAAGTTTAAATAAAAAGTGTCACTTTCTCCTATGTGACATGGTCAAAAACAAATTCACTCATTCTGCTATATGAGAGTACAAGAAGTCCAGTTCTCAACCCTCAAAATAACTCTCACTGGAACCTGACTACACTGCTACCCCCACCTCAGACTTCCAGTCCCCCAAACAGGGAGAAATAGGTTTCTGTTTCATAAGCTAATAGAAGGTAAAGGAAGAGGAGGAGGGGGAGGGGGAGGGGGAGGATGATGATGAGGAGGAGGATGAGGAGGAGGAAGAGGACGACGACGACGACGACTAGGAAAGGGAGAGGAAATTAAATTCTATACATGTAGCCAAAGTGACAGCATAGGTAGAAACTGAAGCGTTTGAGAAGATGACCATAATGGCATGCACTTGCAGTCCCTGCTACTCGTGGGGCTGAGGGGAGAGGAGAGAAAGTGTACCACTAGCCTGAGCTCCACAGCAGTACTTCATTTCGGGGAAAATTCTTTGAAGAATTGCATTGGTTTTAGCTTTCTCAGGGTCCAAGCTTAACCACTCTTTCAGCAGGAGCAGATTTTATTCATTTATTCACAATTCTGAGGCCCTGGGTACTGGCGAGGGGACAGCCATCAAGGAGACCAGGCAATTCCTCTTTCTGAAATGGAAGCGCCATGGCTGACAGTGTATGTATGTGAAAAAGTGCAAGAACCACACTATTTGTTTTCACTCACTTTCCCCCGTACCTGTCTTAGTCACATAGGAACAAGCACTTTAGTAAAACTGTCCAAATCTATGACTTAATTCTACATTTTTCTTAAAAACATAAAATGTCTCATAAAAGACCAGTCTTGGGAAAATGCCAGTGGGAGTTAGCAAGGCAGAAACATTCCATTTGAGCATGCAGCTCTGAATCTCTGTCCCTTCCTTTTCCTCTTTAAGACTTCTAGATAAATTGATTCTGAATAATTAGCTCAAAGCACATCAGGGCTTCCATTATGTTCTCAGGCATGCGATTCATGTTTACAATATTTAGAACATCAAATATTTGGATAGGTGATATGAGTAATCTTTTTGGAAATTGGATACATTATTAATACAGTGAATCTCTTCTCTATGAGTGAGGTCATATTTACACCATTAATATGGTGTAAACTATTTACATGAATTTTTTGCTACACTGAAACTATGGCGCTCCTGTGTTTGTATTTCTAATGACAAAATAAAATTTTTCATTCTTTTTTTACCTCTGGTGATTCACTTGAAATTTTTACTTTATTAAGTCGAGTAGTTGACTGTGTTGCTGCTGTTTATGTGCTGGGAAAGAATAATTTGTTTTAAAAAGATCAAGGCGATAAGGAGCTGGACAGTGATGTGACCAAGGATGGACTTTTGGACCTGTAATATATCTGATTATTCCTGCCTAAAAGTAACTGGATTTTTTTAGTTATTGCATAAAATTCTTTTCAATTAATAGGTCCTTTAACAATCTGTTATCAGCTCTTTAAAACAAATAACATGGATTCAAATTTAACTGGTTCCATTTATGAATTAACTTTCCAATCATTATCACTACTTTTTATTATCCTTTCAAAGCAAAGTCACATCATTGAGCATATGGTCCACTCTTTATTCTTATAGTAATATAGATCAATGGATGGTAAGAGGAGGTAAGATGACTCAGGAAAATCTATCCCAATATTTATAAAAGACCAGGAATCAATACAAATATTAAAAGAAAATGGAAGAAACATGAGAATTCCAAAGATCAGTTAGCTTGGGCATGCTAACTTATAGCAAGAAACCAAGGGGCCATATTGGTTGGAAGTATTTACATAAAATACTGAAAAGAATGTTCTTCTAAACATACTGGAATTGAAGCTATGAAGCATCTTACTTGGCTTGTGTATGGCATTGGTTCTGTGAAGTGCTCCTTTTTCCCACATGGAGACAACTCTGAGTATTCTAAATCATTTGCTTCTATGGTTTTCTCCATAAAATTATCGTCTCTTTAGATACTGTGTAGCAATAGTCTGTTAACTATAGAAACACATTTCTAGATTATATAGTAAATATTATTCTAGCAAATAATGATTCCCCACCCAATGTCTGTGTGGATGGCTAAGCAAAAACTAGGTTTCCAAGAGGACATAAATATTTAAATTGAAGATTAAATTCTAGCCTGTTCAATAGGAAATTGTTTTTTTTTTTTAATGCTAAAATTTTAAAGTATGTAGACTTTACTTTTGGAGAATAAACCATTTTAAGCTAGATGTAACAAAAATAGCTTTATAGAGCCAGGCGTGGTGGTGCACTCCTTTGGTCCCAGCACTTGGGAGGCAGAGGTAGGCAGATCTCAGAGATCAAGGCCAGCCTTGTCTACATAGTGAGTTCCAGGCTAGCAGGGGCTACAGGGAGACCCTGTCTCAAAAAAAAAAAAAAAAATGGCTTTCTACATTTCAACATTCTATGAAATGTATTTTATCTTTTGTGTTTAATATCATAGGTATTTAAGGATGAGGTTAAAAATCGTCTTTCTATTTTGAAAATATTTTTTACATAAACCACCAAGCACCAGTTCTGAATAATAACTCCCTGTTTGTTAGTTTTTAAAGGTCTTTAAAAAATGTTTTACTTTGGACAGTCAGGAAGCAGCCTGTTTCCAAAACTAAATGTAACCTCAACCTTTGCCAGGGAAATCCCTTTACTGAAGTGAAAATAATAATTTCCTTGACAAAAGGCTAGCATTCCATGTACTCCTAAAACACACACAAACCTCTCATTATGAATAAAAAATAGGCTTGTCTTTGGTGTCAGAACAAAAAAATTAAATATATAAGAAACCTCACATATTTGTATTAGAATGTTGTTTTGAGCTTAAAATTGTGAGTAGAATATGGCTCACACTCGCCTCCCTATATTGCTTAGCCAATAGTTAGTTACTCACTGTGTTCTGAACTACATGGAAGAAATAGCAGAAAAGAAGCACTAGTCTGCTAGCTGATCTACAAATGTTGCAAAATGTACAACTTTCTTTTTTTTTAAATGTATTTATTTTCATTTTACGTGTGTGAGTATTTTGCCTGAGTGTTCGTCCGTGCATCACATGCATGCCTGGTACCTTTGGAGGCTAAAAGAAGGCATCAGATCCCCTGGAACTGGAGCTACAGGTGGTTGTTAGCCCACTACATTGGTGCTGGGACCCAAACATGGGTCCTCTGTAAGAGCAGCAAGTACTCTTAACTGTTGAGCCATCTCTGCAGTTCTAAGACTTTATTTTTTAATTATGTGTCTGTTTGTGTATGAGTATGTATATGTTAGTGCTGGTACCCAGGGAGGGCAGGAGAGGGCTTCAGAGCCCTTGGAACTGTAGTTACAGCTGTGAGCCACTTGCTGTGGATGCTGGGAATTGAACTTGTGTCTTTAGTAAGGACAGTATATGTACTTTATCACTGTGCCATCTTGTCAGTCCTTCAAGTTCATAACTTTTTGCATAAAATTTTTGTTCTACCCAGATGTCTTATTTTTAAAACGTGTCAATAATAATTTTCAAATACACATATGTAACAGGAAGCTATATCCATTAGCATTTGTCCTCCAGCAACTCCCATGATAATTTGGTGCTTATATGTCAAGAAACTGATGCTAGAGTTTTTAAATAGCTAGTACTAGGGTTAGAACAAACATGCAGAAAAACCTTACCAAAAAGCCAAAGTAGAAGCGATAAAGCACTATTACTGGTGCAGGAATAAACAGGCCTATACACTCTAGCATTGAAGGGTCTACTAGGTTAAAAAACAAAAGTATATCTAACAATAGTAAGAGTAGTCTGTTTTATCAAAACTACAATAACAAAACATTAAGTATGGTCCATGATATTGTGGTAAGACAAAAATAGGCAATGTACTTCAAATGAAAAAAAAAAATTCATCCAATGGCTAAGATAAAAATGTTAATACCCAAAACACCAATTTCACCTATGACAAAATGAATGTGTAACCCTTATTCTCTGAGGATGGCAGATGTATAGTAATAATAGTTTTAATAATAGTACTAAGAATATTGCTTGAAGGAATCTAGATCTTTATGGATATCTGCTACGTTTATAGGTAGAAACAGCAAGGCTTGGACAAATTGGTCTGTATGTGCTTAAAAATGTGCTCAGAATTAGATTCTTATGCTTTTAACTTCTGAAAAGTTCAGTGAGAACTAATGCAAACTTGAGAGGAGCTTTGTTGGAGATCAAGGAATAAAAAGAACTTAAAAAGTTAAAAGTCTCTTGAATTAAATCATAATGGGAAGTCATCCAGTGACTTTCTGTGTTCAATAACCAAAAAGAAGTTACCATTATTACAACTAAACGTTACAAACAAAGCAAAACACAATATACTGTTGTCGAGTGAATGAATTTTTAATGAATTCTCCAGCAAATATATGGTCACGATGGTAATGACAGTGGTGCCACTGGGACAAACAAAGGGCATTCATTAATGTTTAACATTCTATGCTACTTTATTACTTCATAACTGGATGTGTTTCCCCAGTAGTGAATGAGCTTGCCAATATATTCACATTCATTTTAGGTAAGGGTTTAAAAAATCTTGGCCTGTTAGTTCTCTTTCACTCTTAAACTCTATTTTCCAATCACTCTACACATTTTTTAGCTTTTTTGTTGTTGGTATTCTTTTTTCTTTTTAGACCTTCCTACCTAAAAGTGTTGCTGATTAGCAAATGGGCTTTAAATGTTACATACGGTATGCAGGGAAGGAATAGCATTAGGAAGTCAGTCCTAAAACTAGATGCTCAGGGATCAGCATTCAAAGGCTGGCTAGAGTGATTCTTTTTAATCTATCGGTCACTTAGGTAGTCTCACTCTTCCACCCTGCAGAGTGTTTCCCTCTAGCAGCTTTGCTGGGCTGTCTTTTGACCCCTACTTCAATATACTCACTCCTGGAGCATTGCGGATAAGGTTATTCAATGCTGGAGAACCTTCAATTAGTAAAATACTGAATGAAAATCTTTCTTTGGAATTTGAAGCTCATAGTCATAGACTTTTAGAAATATGTTTTGCTAGCCGGTGGTTCCATTGAATACAATGCTAGAATCAGTCAGGTACTGAGCTTAGGGAACAGATATTCTGAAGAACCCAGCAGCCAGTGCTATGTTTGTACAAACATTACCCTGATGTGTACTGTGGGTCCTGTCTTTGATATGAATGCAGACAACACAGAGACAGAGACATACAGACACACACAGACTCACATGCACATACACATACACAGACACACACATACACAGACACACAGACATAGACACATACACACACACACACACATTTTCAAATGTTATAGAATCAGAATTTAAAAAAGACAAATTCAAACTGTGGGAGTAATGGAGTCAACATTGGAGTGTCCCAGCTACTATTCATATCCACGTACCTAAAATTGCCTGGACTGTGCACATCTGTTTTAATGGAATTGACTGCATACTCTGGTCTATAGGTCCCGCACCACACCTAGAGGTAGGAATAGACAAAGGAAAGCAATGTGCTCAGGTTTAAGCATGGATTAGTTCCTTGGATAGACTGTCAAAAAAGAAAAATTAATTTGGAATTCCACATTCTTCAACCATTAACTCTTCAAATAATGTTCAATGAGAGGCAGCCAGGAACATAATTACTTATAAAGATCAGAATCTGACAATCTACTATAAACAATAAAAATTAGTCAAGCCAAATGCTCTGCCACAACTGATTAAAACAAGAAAATTCAGCATGCAATATCTAACTTACAGTGAAATTACAACTCAAAATGATTTTCATATTTATCAATCAGAAAAGATACAGTACCTGGGCAAAGTTTAAGAAGAACAGTTGTTTGTGATTGAGGTCAAGTCCAGGAAGTAATTTTTCTTCACCATTCTTTTTAACATAATTCTGATAGGCCTAAGTAGTAAAATAGAAACAAGATATTTATAATTTCTAAATTTATTTAAAAAACCTACACAAAGACCCTGTAACCAAATAATTAACCTTTTATATTAAAATCACTATCATACATTTAGACATGGCAACCTGCAACTCTTTCATGGATTAGGAAGAAAACGAGTATGTTTCTATAAATGCTCTGAAAAGAATAAGAGACTGATTAGCAGATGACAAGAGCCTGGCATGTCAGATGATCACTCTAAATGTCAGTTGGATGAAAGGATGACTTAAGTACGCGATGAAAATCTTACCTTAGTATTGTTCTATGGATAGTTGGATAAGTCCAGCCCGTTGCAGAAATGGGTTGCCAAAGGAGTCATCTGCAATTGCTATATTTAGCTTAGTTACTACTCTTAGCAAAACAGACTCACACCAGATTTAGCCTGAGTGATTCTTGCCAAAAGTCAAAAGATTCTCTTGAGATTCCTTAGGAGCTTAGAGTCCGATGAATCTAAGGTTAATGATAGGCAACTATTCTGGTCCCCTGATGATAGGACAAAATAGGCTAACTCTTAGTTATGTTAGGAGGAAGGAATTTAGGCAACCTGGACATCAGAACATGCTCTGAATCCTTAAAGGTTTATATACGCAATCAAGAAATTTAGTTCTGGGGGTTGGAGAAATGGCTCAGCTGTTAAGAGTACTGGCTATTCTTCCAGAGGAGCCAGGTTTGATTCCCAGCATCCACATGGCAGCTAACAGCTGTCTGTAACTCCAGTTCCAAGGGATCTGACACCCTCTTCTGGCCTCCACAGGCTGTGCACAACACGGGTGCACTTACATACATGTAGGCAAAACACTCATATAAATAAAATAAAAAAAAAGAAAAATATAATGAAATAAAGAAATTTAGTTATGTTCACTATATATAAGGAAAGGGACTCACAATAAACTTTCTGAGATATGTTATTTTTATTTCCTGAAAAGTTTTTTTTTATTACATTTATCTAGCTGTTTTTAACATGTGTGTGTGTGTGTGTGTGTGTATGTGTGTGCGTACACACCATGGTATATGCCTAGAATTCAGAGGACAACTTGTAAGAGACTATTCTCTCCTACCAAGTGGGTCCTAGGGATTGAAATAAGGTCATCAGGCTTGGTGGCAAGTGCCTTTACCCCCTGAGCAATCTAGCCAGTCCTGCTTCTAATTTCTTAGGAAGAACACTGATCGATTAAATAGGCAAAAAGAGATATTTCTTTCTCATCATTATCAATATCAACATAGAATACTGAACCTTTACTAAGTAAAGACTCTGGGGATATAGGGGAGACTTGTGCCTCCCCCTTCTCAGGGAATTGACAGTCTTCCAGAGGGGCCAAGCCATTACATATAAAAAATTCACAGTACCATAAATATTTACATAATTATAATTTCCTTTAGTATTATAGATCTTAACTAGCTATAGGGGAGAATCATCAAGCATTCTAATTACTGGGGCTGGAGAGATGGCTCAGCAGTTAAGAACACTGACTGTTCTTGTAGAAGACCTGGGTTCAAATCTAACAACTAACAACTGTCTGTAACTCCAGTTCCAGGGGATCTGACAGCCTCTTCTGTTCTCTGCTGGCACTGCATGACACGGGTGCACTTACCTACATGCAGGCAATACATACATACACATAAAACAAAAATAATAAATAAATTTTTTTTTTTTAAAAAAGGAGTTCTATTTACTAAGGTCCACCATCCAGACAGTACTTAGGTGACAGGGACTGCCGACTGATACAAGTAAGAGAGGGACAAAGTACAAGAAACTATTTGCATAACACTGGACATCAGACCTAGAAAGGATGACAATCTTCTACAGATGGTTAACAAATAAACAAACAGCCAGTTCTACTCCATAATGGGTGCAGATTGTTTCTCTGCAAGCTTTTAGGCCACCATGAAGGGAGTGAAAACTCTAGAAAACCAGGTAACTCTGAGTTGAAAAGAAACGGACCGTTTGGCAACATCATGGCCGGGATATTGAAGAACAGGAATCCATAAAGAAAGAATACTTCAAGATCATTGTAGGTTACCTTTAAATATTCAGCTTAGCCCCAGTGCTAGGGAAAGGCTCACCCCTCCAGCCTTAACATTTCTGTGCTCAACAGATAATCCTACATCCTCACTCCCTCCATAAACATTCTACCCATCCCACGTGTCAGAAGCCTGGGTCTACCATGGACATCTTGTCCTGTGTGTCAACTCAAGTAGATGGTTCATTCTCTCACATGTGGGCTGCACCCTCACTCCTGCTGCCTCTAAGAACATTATTCTTCTGCCCTTTGTGGAATTCCCTATTTTCTCTTATGCTGGATCATCCTTTAATCCCTAATGATCCATTAGTTACTGGCATCTTTCACGGAAGGTGTGTTGCTGCATCTCTGGCACCTAAAATAGTGCTGCAAACAAAGCAGACGCCAGTACTTGTCCCATGGAAGAACTGAATGGAAGGCAAAATGTGATTTTAATGGATAAACCAAAGCTAATAATTCTCAGAGTATTAGTAGTTGGGCCCATTTCAAGGTCATATGCTGGAGTCATATCACATTCAGGCCCTTAACTGATTCTCTTCGAGGAGACCGTGGTTTAATGTTATGTCTGCAGCTTATGTTGATCCCTACATGCTGATTCACTTGCTGGGGAACTGAGGATCCCACTCATTATGCTGATAAGTGACCCTGAAATAGCCCCTTGCGTGGCACATCTTTACTAAGAAATTTACTTCCAAGATATTTCTTAGAAATATGTTGCTTCTTCTGTAGCTCCGTACATCTTATTTCTTTTGCTATAAGTTTCAAAGCTCCCTTTTCTCCTTGGCTTTTTGAAAGTTTAAGAGAATGGTGTTCAGATCCATCATACTAGCCTTGCTGACCAGTATGATTAGCATACAAACAACTCTCTCTCTCGTCACGTGTTCCCCATTTTCCACTCCTCACCTTCTGCTTCTAAGAGTTTCTGACAAAAGGCTTTAAATAAGTGAATAAGTGGTTAGATAGGATAAATGAATACTCCCACTATGAAATGGAAATAAAATATTACTACTCACTCTGTATGCTTGGCCAATACCTCCATTATCAGCAATGTTTTCTCCTAGTGTATTAATTCCATTGAGCTGTTTAAAGAAAGATTCTCTATTAGATGGCTATGCAAAGTAGCAATAGTTCACTTAGGATTGTATTCAAAGCCTTTCTGGAGAATGCTGATGACATACGTGCTGTCCACCTGCTAGGTCCCAGGAAAAGTTTCCATACTGGTACACCATACACTGAGATTGGTCTTTAAAATTATTTGCAGACTGCTGAGTCCACCAGTCAACGAGGTCTCCATCCTTGTTAAAATTTCTACCTGCAACATATTTATTCAATAAACTCATTACAATAAGGATTAGAATAAGTTTTGTTTTAAGTTTTCTTTTAATGGTAATGGAAGTTATTGAAGTAAATAGATTCTCATACAGTTATAAGAAACAACGTGGAGATCCAAGCACACTTTGCTCCAGCCCCTGAGCAGTAACATTTTGTAAAACTGTAATACCACAACAAAGAAATTGCGATGAATATAATCCATCTATCTCAAAGACAGCTTTAATTTAAAGTGAAAGGAACTAAATGTGACTATGTGATAATGAAATTGGGTAGAGAATGAGAAAAATTGTGATCCTTCCTCATCCTGCTCTGCTTGCCTTGGGAAAGCCTGGACCGCCTGAGCACCTTAGTACTGACGGATATTTCACCAGCTTGGCTTTTGATGCTGCAGAAGAGGCCTTGTTCTGTTGGATGTTTTCCATCTAAACAATATTGTTGATACTTCACATTCCCAGACCCTCCATGCAATATTAACTCATCATTCCCCTCTACTTAAGGCACAAAGAGAAGTTTTCTTTTTTTTTCCTGAAGCTTTGCTGCCAAATTTACACATTGATTTTTTTCCCCTTTTGGACCTCCAACTGCATTTATATAGTTTATATGTTTTGACATTTAATTTCATCATTTTAAAATATTTATGATGTTGTGAAATGGCTATGAAACCAAACTGCTTGAACTCTCATGCTGATTCTACCAATTTCAAGCTTCATAACATTGTACAGACATGTTACATGCTTCTACATGTTTCCATTTGAAAAACAGAAATAGCCTTAGTCAGTATTTGTTAAGACTGTTGCACAGCTTGACCAATCACCTGACATTTAGCTCTTCCTTTTAAGATGCTTCCTTTCTGTCTCCTTTTCTCCCTCTGGCTTTCTAGATCTGTATCTAGCTGATGCTTATTTTCTTGCTCTTTATTTTTTCTTTCTTCTCATGAATTAAAAGTTTTTTACAGCTTCCACTCTGGCTTCTTTACATATCTCCTGTCTTTATTTTAATGACTTTTAACTTTCACAGAAACTGTAAATCTACATTGTCATTTGAGGAAGCACATAAACATTTTTAAAATATTTTATTTATTATTTTTTAAATATTACTATTATTTTACGTTATGAGTGGTATTGCCTGCATATATGTGAGTGTACCCATGTCCTACAATGCTATGGCAGTCAGAAGAGGGCTTCAGATTCCCCTGGAACTGGAGTTAAGGACAGTTCATAGCTGCCATGTGGGTACTGGCAATCAAACTCGTGTCCTCACCAAGAACAGTCAGTGCTCTTAACCACTGAGCCTTCTCTGCAACGCCAGCACACAAACATTTAAGTATTTACCATTTACAAGGTTGTGAACTATGGATTAGGTCTAAGATGACTGATTGCAAGCAGCTTAAGGACTTTATGGGCACTTGGATATGCCATTTTTCTGACTTTACATCTCATTTTAAGACACAGACCTGCCTTCTAAGGGTCTAGCAGGATAAGATATATATAAAAATAATGAAATGTGACTAAGCATTATTGACCATGACTGACAATCACCATAGCGCTTTCCTAATGTGAATATTTGCTTTAGTGTCTCATAGTGTAAAGCACACAGCACTAACCTGATTATTAAATATTTGATTTTCTTAGGAGACACTTAAAAGAGAACACCAAAAATGCAGTGAAACTTAGGTCAATAATATATTGCTAAATAAATGTAGTTTTGTATTGATAAGCTATGTGACTCTTAAACTAAAAGGGTATATCACAGCCAAAGGAAAATGTCATTAATACTTTACCATTGTCATCGAAGCCATGCGTGATTTCATGTCCTATGACCATGCCGATGCCCCCATAGTTCAATGAGTTGGACTGCTGGGCGCTAAAGAAGGGGGGCTGCAAAATGCCAGCAGGGAAGACTAAAGGAGAGAAGACGATTGAAGGTTATCTGTGGCATTATCCTGTGATGACTTCTTGCTTACACAACTGTTTTCTACTATGTCGATATCACTTAGGTAGATACCAGTATCTTGTGTGGTAGAAACCAATGCAGTCGTTCATTATCAATGGCAGCAAAGATATGGTGCTGAAGTTACGCCACAACCCATGAGTTGTTCACCACAGGTCACCTTCCAATCTCTTTGAAGATTGTTTGTGCTATAAAGAGTTTCGGGCAAGGTAAATTTAGAATCTACATTCACAAGATCTTTTCTTTCACAAATATTTGGAA